ATCAGTTGACCTACCTGAAGCAGGTCCTGCAGTGGTTTCAGTTAGTATCAGGACTCAAAATCAACATCGGCAAGTGTGAGATTTTCCCGGTAGGTGTGGTTACTAATATTGATGCCTTGTCTGGTGTTCTCAAATGCAAGGTGGGTTCCCTTCCCACTACTTACCTGCGTCTCCCTTTGGGCGCTTCATATAAGGATACTACGGTTTGGAATCCAGTGATCGAACGGGTTGAAAAAAGATTAGCAGGGTGGCAGAAACAGTATTTGTCAAAAGGAGGTAAGGAAGTGCTTATCAAAAGCACTTTATCGAGTATGCCCACCTATTACTTATCACTGTTGCAAGCACCGGTGTGCATCACAAAAAAACTGGAGCGACTTCAAAGGAACTTTCTGTGGGATGCGGCGGATGGAACTAGAAAGTTTCATCTAGTGAATTGGCAGACAGTCACTTCCCCAAAGAAGTGGGGTGGACTTGAAGTGAAAGATCTTAGGGTTTTTAACAGAGCTTTAATGGGGAAGTGGTTGTGGAGATTCGGGGTAGAAGAGCATGCTCTATGGAGGGAGGTCATAGTAGAAAAGTACGACTCAACGGGAGGGGGTTGGAGGACCAAGGCGATCAAAACACCTTTCGGTTGTGGCATGTGGAGGAGTATCATGAAGAATTGGGAAGCATTCAGTGACAACATCACTTACAGGGTGGGAGATGGAAGGAGAATCAACTTTTGGAATCATAGGTGGTGTGGAGAGGATACTCTCAGGGTCTCCTTCCCCCACGTCTTCAGAGTTTCAAACCAGAAAGAACTGATGGTCCAACAGATTCGCAACGAGCTTGAAGGGGTAGTATGGGACCTCTCATTCAGGAGGAACATGCAAGATTGGGAGATTGCGGAGCTCCAAGTTTTGTTGGCGCTGCTATACGGGCAAGACAGGCTTCAGCCATCCTGTGACTCTTGGAGATGGGGCTTGTGTGGCGATGGTTTGTTCACCGTAAAGTCCTTTTACCAGAGTATGTTGGTGAGGGAGGAGACCACTTTTCCATACTCCTCGATCTGGATTCCTAGGGCGCCCACGAAGGTGTGCTTTTTTGCATGGCTAGCGGCAAGGGGAGTGATCTTGACTGCTGAAAATCTCCGAAAGAGGGGAATTACACTTGTTAGTTGGTGCTACATGTGCAAAAGCTCAGGGAAGAAGTTGATCACCTTATGTTGCATTGCCCTGTGTCCTCTGCTTTGTAGAGGGCAATCCTGAATCTTTTTGGTGTTCAATGGGTGATGCCAAGCACTGTAAAGGAAATGTTACATAGCTGGGGCGGTTTTCGGAGAAGAAGAAAGCAGAAGGCGTGGAAGTTCGCCCCGTTAGCTCTCATGTGGGTAGTATGGGGGGAGAGAAATAGGAGAGCTTTTGAGGAGATTGAGTCTCCTTTTTCACATNTTCCATTTTCACATCTTAAGAATAGTCTTTTATCTTTGATCGCTTTTTGGTGCACTCATTTAGCCCCTACTTGTATAGAAGATTGGACGTTTTTTGTAGAGAATCATGTTCTGATGTAAATTCTCTACGTCTTTGGTATACTTCGTGTATACGGGAGTTCTCTCCCTTTTGATTAATACAATTTACCTTATTAAAAAAAAAAGGTGGAAACATGATGCAAAAGGTCTTTTCTCTGTTAAAGCATGCTACCAGCAGTTAAAACATTCTCCTATCTTGAAGTGACCTTGGAAATGCATTTGGCGCAACAGAGCACCAATGAAAGTGGGATGTTTTTCGTGGTTGGTAGCTAAGGAAGCTTGTTTTACACATGAAAATCTTCAGAAAAGGGGTATGAAAATATGCAGTAGGTGCTCGCTTTGTGGTAATCAATCAGAGGATATCAATCACCTATTTCTTCTTTGTTCCTTTACCTCACAGATATGGAGCTTCTTTTTTAACACCTTGCACTTGGACAATGGCAATTGTGGTAATCAATCAGAGGATATCAATCACCTATTTCTTCTTTGTTCCTTTTCCTCACAGATATGGAGCTTCTCTTTTAACACCTTGCACTTGGACAATGCCATTGACAAAAAAGGAGTTACATTTAGGTGGTTTAGGAAAGGCAAAGAGGAAAACTTGGAAAACCATCTCTTCAGTGGTCTGGTGGACTATTTGGAAAGAAAGGAATGCAAGTGTTTTCGAAAGCAAATTGGAATCTTTAATTAGCATTAAATACAGCTGTATTTCTTTACTCTTTTTTGTTGGGTATAACATGGCTATTGCAAATGACATTGGGGCCATGGTTGCTTTTTTGAGCTCATTACGTAACGCGCGATGTAGCTTCCACTTGTAATTGTTTCACAGCACTTACTTGATGCTGCTATCAATATACTACCTTTAACAATAAAAAACAAAACAAAATAACGGGTTCTGCTCCTCTGGTAATATTTTCTACCTAATAAGTCCTCTGTTTTCAGTAAAGATTCTCTAAACGTGATATCTAGTTCCAATAGATGCTTATCTAAGTAATGCAAAACAGAGTTGAGTAGCTAAGTCCCTGCGACTACTTTGTACCTTGTTATTGGGATAAAACTAATACTGTTTTTGGAAATGAGTGCACCTCCTCCTTTTCTAGATTCAGTTAGATTTTTTTTTTCCTTTTAGAGATTTGCTGTATTAAATGAACGCTCGCATAGATTATCTGCTGAATTATTGTTTTTGTTTATTCAATTTATGCTCATACATGAAGAAAACCATTCCGATTTTGCGTTTTCTAAGTAATTCATTCTGCAGTATAAAGTGAAAGCTGTCATTGTTTGGTATAAGGTCAAAACGTCTTCTTAAATATTGGATTGGGACTGTTTGCATGGAGCGACATGGATAGTGAGGATTCAAAGAGCTGACCTTATCTAGTTTGGGGTTAAGGCATAGTTGGTGTTATATACACTATAAAGTCAAAACCTTGTACTATTGAAACAAGAAAGATTTCATCTGCTCAGCTTATTCTTATGCACACACAGTCTGTTTCCTGACATCATATTGGAAAATAGCTTGCTGAATTATAGAACCTCAATGAAAAACAACTCTGGTTGTATTTAGTTGGTTATTCTTTTTCAGCAGTATTTGTTTTCTCTGTATGCTTCATCTTTGCCTTAATTTGTTTGTGTCTACAGGGGGGCATGCCTAACAATGTCCCGGAGAAGAGTATGCTTAGAAGTGAAACTATCAGAGATGCAGGGAAGTTACCTGTTGCGGCTCAGGCTCCTGTATCTGCCATGCCTTTCAAAGAACATCATTTGAAACAGCTTAGAGCACAATGTCTTGTGTTTTTGGCTTTTAGGTATGTAGAACGATGGATTTGGTTTTTGCGTTAGTCATTTTGCAAAGAAATTTTTGCGTCCAGCTACCACAGTTTTCAATATCCTTCCCACTTGTAGGAATGGTTTAATGCCTAAGAAGCTTCATCTTGAAATTGCGCTTGGCAACTTCTATCCCAAAGAAGGTATCTACTGCTTGATATCTCTCTTTTATACTAGTCTGATTAAGTCATAACCTGTGTCATGTGCTATTATGCTGTGTTCTATAGATGTAAATCACAGAGAATTGGTTGACCATACAGGAAGGGAGCAACTGCTTACTGACCAAGGCAGTGCATCTGAAGTCACACGGCCATTAGGAGGAGCTGGCGAAATTGACAGGCTTTCTTCTGGGCCTACGTCCTCTGGAGTTATTGCTGATACAAATTCGTCAATGGAGGCTGAGAATGCTAACTTGATGGAAGATAAAAGTAGTCAGCTTGATCCTTCTGAGCATGCGGACGAAAGGAGGCCTCAAAGAAAGATGAGAATGATTCAGGATGCTGAAGTGCCCATCCGGGATGCTACAGAATCACAGGCATCTGCTCTTAGAGGAGTACCAATTGATTCAAAACCCTTAGGTCCCAATAATCATGAGCATGCTCTCGCAAATACTGAACAACCAGGAATGTTTCCCCAAGCTTCCTCTGTTACGGGCACAAGCATGCAAATGAAGCCTGATCTTAGTGGTTGGAGTGGAACTGAGGCGTCAAAGGTATCACCACCTGCCTCTGCCAATACCCATGAATCTGGTCTGCTAATGAAAGATTGTGCTGCTGATAGCAATGCTCAAGGAAATCGACATGCTGATAGTAACTTGCCTAGTTTACCCTTGAGGCAACAGTGGAAATCTGTTCCTGGAGCAATTAATCAGAGTCCTATAATGATGCAAGTGAAGGATTCAAATATAATGCTGAAAAATCTGTCACAAGGTCTGAATAACATTTCTCGATACGAATTTCATCTCTTATCAATTTCATTAAAAATTTGCCTTTTTTCCCTTTTATGGATTTGGTTTTGGGGCTTTGGGAATCTAGGTAAGACAAACTTCTTCCGATAACTTATATGCAATATGCCTCTTTTCTTTTCTTCCCTTTTTTGCTATTGTGGTGTGGTGTCAAACTTCATCTAGGGGACTGATTTTTCAGTGTGTTGACTATACGTACATACTTATATAGTTATATTTGCACGTATATTTATATGACTAGTTATTGTTCTAACATCTGCACATTAAGTCCATTTACAGTGCAAGAAACAGATCAAGAGGATGAAAATATTTCAGCATCCACAGATAGGTTACTATCTCCAAGGCATACAATGATGGAGAAATGGATTTTGGATCGGCAGAAAAGGAAACATCTTAGTGAACAGAAATGGTCGGAGAAACAGCAAAAAACGGAAAAAAGAATTGCTTCTTGTGCAGCGAAGTTGAAGGTTTGCTATTGAAAATCCTTCTTCCCTTATAGGATGCAATGCTCTTATCAGTATTTTGTATAGACCGGATATTCGGTTAGCTTGTTAACGCTGATTGTATTGGTAGCTGTCTAAGGCCTTCTTCTGGTGAAACTTGATTCCATATTAGCTTCTTCATGTGAGTTCGGTAGATAAGATCTCTAATTTTCCATTCAAAAAGTGGTCTGAACTTCCAAGTGGGAATGAATTTAGTTGGCTTTGTTCCCCATCATGGTCATCACGATATTTTGTGATACCTTGAAATGAAAAATCTCTCTTTATTCTGTTCTCTGTTCACTTTCCTTTTTTTCTGATTTTGATTTGTTTTATTCTTTCATGGGTTGGTGCATCAGGGTGGGGGGTGGGTGGGTTTGCAGTAATTAAATGTACTGTTTGCTCAATGGCCCATGACTCATAGAATCCTCATGTTATGTCAGGCTTTCTTCTTTGGCTTGACAGAATTTTCATTCACCTAAAACCACCTACATGTGTAAGCACTAAGCAGTGCATCAACCTTTTTTTGGGGGTTGGGGGTCTTACCTTGTCAATGGAACTTGTTACTTAGCTGGTGCCTTCTGTGAGTAAAGCAATGGAACTTTCTGAATATTCTTGTGTTATGCCCTTTGCTCGAGAGTTCTAGTTGCTAATACTTTTAAAATTTGGGTGAATTGCATACTGTGCTTTCAAGTTGATTGGTCTTTTATGCATCGATTATGTTCCCCCAAAAAAGAGAAATAAATAGGAGGTGTAGACAAACACAGATAGGGACATGGTCAGGATTCACCTATGAGATCTTTTCAAAACAAAAAAGATCATATTGCCCATTTTAAGTACAAGAATGGTGTAAATAGTGAATACACATCAGATGTAAGTTCCATGTAGTACAATAATATGCTTTCCAGCTTCATTCTAACCATTTGGGTGTCATCATGTTTCTTTTATTACGCTGCATAGACGGACTGTGTTTGAAGAGAAAGAGCCGCAAGCGTTTCCCTCTAAAAGGAAGTAGTTTTCAAGTGCCAAATTGCTCAAAACTAAACCTATTTTTCCTTAGAATAATAGATATTCTCTCAATCGTTAAATCTCCCGTTTCCATTCAGTTGTCGAGCTACACTTCTGGGGACTTAAACAGAAAAGACTGCACTTTGAGAACTAAAGTTGTCTATCTCCTTCACTGTTATTCCACGGTTCTCAATAACCAAAGCAACTACCCACCATTTAGTCTGTGTAGATGAAAAAAAACTGTATGGTTGGTTATTCTTCTTCCTTAGCTGCAAAATGGTAAATTAAACTGCATGTTGAGTGCCCAATGATGTCATTGATGCCGAGATAATAACCAAATTGAAGCTGGCATTTATGATTTTCCTGTTGCATTGTTTTTCGTTTTTATTGATCTTGAGTGTGTCTATGAAAGGATATCACTGCACCTTGCATCAGCTGTTTTTGATCTGTCAGAACCATTTGATGATCTCCTCTTCCAGCGTCTGATACACGTGCTTGTGACAATCATAAGCATCTTTAATGTCCATAGATTGCTATAACCTTATTTATGTACAATGGCTCTTACATCCCAGTTAAGTTTCATTGCTCGATGTGATAAATACTCATCTTCATTTATGTGGCAGGAATCGGTGAGCTCCTCTGAGGATATCTCTGCAAAAACAAAAAGTGTCATTGAGCTGAAAAAGCTTCAATTGCTGGAGCTGCAGCGCCGTCTACGGAGGTGATTGATCTAGTTCAACTTACTTTTTTATACATATCTAGATGTATTCCACATTGTTCCTACTCCCTTATTTTCTAACTTTGCCTCCACTAGTGGATATCTTATTTTCTACGAAGGGTGTCACATAGTCAACAAATTTGATATTTCTACGGTGAATTATTTGCAAGTTTAATATGTATCAATGTACCACATTGTTACTTCTGCCTTGCTTTCTAATTTTGCCTCTCCTAATAGATACCTACATTTCAAGGAAGTATGACAAGCTGTCAACCATTTTGCAAATTTATAGCGTTCACTTCGAGTGTTGCAAGTTTGATCTTTAGAGATATGATATAATTTTTTAATTCTCATTTAATACAAGACCTCATTTAACTAATTCGAAGATTTTTGAATGAAAATTGGCACTCTGAGGTATTATTAATTTGTGGATTCAAAAAGATTAAGTTACATAGTAGCTGAGATTTATAATAATATAAATCTGAAAAGAACCAGCTGAGTAGTTGGGTCCTAGATGATTTTAGTTTCTACTGGATCTTATAAAAATATTCTCAATAAGAGCTGCGCAGTGGTTTCAAATGCTTGTGTGTATGGTACTCATAGTATATGAACATGTTCTTCCTTAAGCTGGTGTCTAAAATGCTTATGTGGTTACAAATTTGCAGTCTGTGAACATTTTCTTGTATGTATACTAGACTCCGGCGGTTCTCCAGAGAGCTCTGGTGGTCTCATGCTCCTCCTCTCCCCTATGGTAGCCAAGATTATTTATATTGTTTAGAACTGTTTAGGCTTTTCCTATGTCACCCGTCATTGCTTAACATTATCTGTTCAGTTCTTGTGACCTTGTGACAATTTTTTGGCAGTGAAATTCTCAACGATTTTTTCAAACCAATAGCAGCTGACATAGAGCGCTTAAAATCAATCAAGAAACACAGAATTGGGAGGAAATCAAAGCAACTTGAAAGATATGAACAAAAAATGAAGGAAGAGCGTCAAAAAAGAATTCGTGAGAGACAGAAGGAGTTCTTCAGTGAGATTGAAGTTCATAGGTATGCAATTACTGTCCTCCTTGGGGTTAATCGTGTGACTTTTTTTCTGGTCAAATTAATTGTGTGACTTTGCTCCTTTAACAGTAAATGATTAATGACTTCTTTTCTGATTTTCTTATTTTTTGTTTTCTTGGAATTAACCTGAACTCCAGGGAAAGATTGGAAGATGTATTCAAAATGAAGAGAGAACGTTGGAAAGGTTTCAATAAGTATGCTAAAGAGTTCCATAAAAGGAAGGAACGGATACATCGTGAGAAGATTGACAGAATCCAGCGTGAGAAAATTAATTTGCTGAAAATCAATGATGTTGAGGGATACCTTAGAATGGTTCAGGTATGGTATGACTAAATTTCTCTCTGCACTGCCCTCTGTTCCACTTATCCTGATAAATACTTTCACATTGCTTGTAGGACGCAAAGTCGGATCGTGTTAAACAACTACTAAAAGAGACGGAAAAGTACCTCCAACAGCTTGGATCCAAATTAAAGGACGCTAAGTCAATAGCAAGAAAATTTGATACCGACATGGGTGACAATAGAAACACTGGTGTGGTTGAGGAGGATGAAATTGACTTCGGTGATGAGGATGAAACAGATCAGGCTAAGGTTCTTTCAGATATTGTCATATATGGTTAAATGCACATATTGCTAGCTGGCATGCTCATTGTTATATGCTTGTTTTGTGTCATTTCCTGATTTGCTTATATGTTAAAATTTTTTTCTGCAGCATTACTTGGAAAGCAATGAAAAATACTATATGATGGCACATAGGTAATTTCTGCTTATATAAACTCTTACATGGTCTTGAAGGACTTAACGCCATAGATTCTTTAGTTTTATTTGAATCTTCATTCTTTTGACTTTCCATGATTCAACTTTGTTATCTGTTCAATGTCAGTATTCAATCTCTCTGGTTGAGATGCTAAATAAGTAAATTTATTTTCTGCAGTGTAAAGGAGACCATTGCAGAGCAGCCTACTTCTCTCAAAGGTGGAAAATTAAGGGAGTAAGTTTTTTAATGTCAGAATTAATTATATTGCGTATCTATGTTTGTGAGTGAATTTTTTAAATTATTTAATTTCCACTCGCAGATATTTCCTGTTTCCTTCATCTAGAGTATGTTTAATCTCAATTTTTCTTGCAGGTACCAAATGAATGGATTACGATGGTTGGTTTCGCTCTACAATAACCATTTGAATGGAATTTTAGCTGATGAGATGGGACTCGGTAAAACTGTTCAGGTACATTAATATGTAATTACTTTAGTGGTTACTCTTACTTGATTCCTAGTTTATTAAACTCTAGTTCTCCTTTTGAAGTTCACTTTAATTCCATAGTTATTTTCTCTTGAATTTTGGAGTATCTCATGGAGACAATTTTGTAGGTTATATCCCTAATGTGTTACCTGATGGAAGCCAAAAATGACAGAGGACCTTTTCTGGTGGTAGTGCCATCCTCTGTCCTGCCTGGATGGGAGTCAGAGATAAACTTTTGGGCACCAGATATGCTCAAAATAGTTTATTCTGGACCACCAGAAGAGCGGAGGAAGCTTTTCAAGTATGTCATATCAATTAAGTCATATTGTTGTCTAGCAATTCTACTATTATTTTGTTACTTCCATTGTATTCATGCTGCAAATATTGGGGTAACTTGTCATTGCAGGGAAAGAATAGTTCATCAAAAGTTCAATGTTCTTTTGACAACATATGAGTATTTGATGAACAAACATGATCGGCCAAAACTAAGCAAAATACATTGGCACTATATCATAATTGATGAAGGCCATCGCATAAAAAATGCTTCTTGCAAGTTGAATGCTGATCTCAAGCACTATCGCAGTAATCATAGGTTGCTGTTGACGGGAACTCCTCTTCAGGTTTATATTGTCTGTGAGATTTTTATTTCTTACATCCTGTGGGTTGAGAAGACATGCTCTTCTGGCATATAATATGACATACTAATTGTTTTTTTTGTGTGCGCTGATGTGATCTGAAAGTATTTATTATTTCGTCCATGTAGAACAATCTTGAGGAGCTCTGGGCACTCCTTAACTTCCTTTTGCCAAATATCTTCAACTCATCAGAAGACTTCTCACAATGGTTTAACAAACCATTTGAGAGTAATGGTGACAACTCTGCTGATGAGGTATGTTTCTTACCGTTTCCAGTCGGAAGTACGATTTCCTTGTTGCTTAAGTTATTCTTTATATTTTGTTGATCCAATTACTTTGCTTTCTTCTGCTGCTAGGCTTTGCTCTCCGAGGAGGAAAATCTTTTGATCATAAATCGTCTGCACCAAGTTCTGCGTCCGTTTGTACTTAGGAGATTGAAACACAAGGTATATCTCTTCATCCGTACTGTGCACTTGCCCTACTCGACTGGTTATCCAATCTCAAGCTATGTGTATCAAATTCCATCTTTGGAGGATCCGTATCATGCTTTTGTTTTTTCTTAAAAATCAAATGTTTTTTTGATGCCACACCTATGATGTATTATATTTATGAAAGGCATCATGCCTCCCAAAAATCTAACCAACTGTATACAAGTGGAATCCAACTGTACACTAAAATTATAAAAGAAACAAAAGAGAATTTTTGACCCTTGATAACCTACTTTCAATTTCCTCAAAAGTTTTTCCATATCTCTCTCCATAATACCCAAAATGATGCAAAAATCGTGTGTTTTCCAAAATTACCTACGTCCAGCTTCCAGCTTGCTCTAACTCCAACTCTTCAGCGCGCCCGTGACTATGTTGGGTAACACCAATTGGATTTTAAATTGCAAACATCAATGACGTTAGCTGCCAGGAAAAATCACAATGTTTTAGTGGATGGTTCTCATCCTCCCCATGCTTACACCACCAACAATAATACATCTTCTTAACAATAATTTTTCTCTTATTAATTTTTTGTTGTACCATCAAGTTATACTTAGTGCCCCTCTACGTGACCAAGAAAAAGGAGGAAACAGAAAGAGGGATCTAAATAGTGTTGCTTTAATTAGATAGGGATAACAACCCATTTCCTCCACTATTGTGGACACTTAACACCCCCGCACGCCCAAGACGGGACATCTAGAGCTTGGACAACACAAAACAGGGCCCATCCTTGGATAAAACAAGAATAAGAATGGGTCTGGCTCTAATACCATGAGAAGAAATGGACCTTGAGCCTAACTCAAGCCAACACTAGCTCGTGAGATGGGAGTGTTTCTTTTTGTTTTTGTATAGAGGTCTCCCTATCTATGTATCGCCAATCACCATCTTAGTGCTTAGTTTTCTTTTAATCAAAATGAAATAAAAAAATAGCTCATGAAATGAGGATTGGCTAAGACCATATAAGGAGACAACATCCCATTTCCTCAACCAATGTGGGACACCTAACACTGGCTATCATGAGTATTGCTACACCTGAATCTCAAACAAGTTGGAGTCGTCTATGCGAATGTTTATATCGATCAGTTTATGTGGGCTTGTTTATCCATTACATGATAATTTTAGGACTTCTCTAAATTTGGACAGCGACTTTTTAAATCAGACTTATCCCTACATTGTACATCCATTTTGTAGATACTTTGGGTGGTAGATGCCCGATATCCATCCCATTTTTACATTTTGGATCTTAAAATTGTTTTATAGAATAAATGTTATTGTAGACAAGCCACTTTGTTTTTTTAGTGAGACCTGGCCTACTTAGGTGATGCTACATGATTGAGGCTTTATTCTCCTATGGGGAACAACGGATCCTGCATGTCAGAAGAGTGCAATCTCATATCCTATTGCCTTGTGGAGCAGAGTCTCTGCCATTACTTCTTGTGATGAGAGATACATTCCAAATTTATGATTTTGTTATAAGGAAAAAAAGAAATTTATGATTTATTATCTTTATCCAAAAGATAGGAGATGTTTTATGGAACATGCTTTTTATTTTTGTTGGTATCTTCTAATTGCATAGCACGCCGTAGCACTCCTCGGTTTCACATTTTATATTTTAATTTTGATGTGTTACATCCTCATCTATCATAGCATTCTCTCGGTAAACTACAGCTAGATACTAACATTTTCTGCCCTTACAAAAGAATTCCAGTTCAGCCATCTAAAAAAAAAGAATCCAGTCCAGTCTTACTTTTAACTTTATTTTTCTTGTAACGACTAAACTTTTCTTGAAAAGTAAGGTAATCTTATATATAAACAAGCACAAAGGATGTGCTGTAACAGCTGAACAGTATTTACAGAAGTAAAAAACAGCAAAGACTTTTGCCCCTTCTTATGACGGCTAAACTTGTAGTGCATATATCATGTTATCTAAAATACTTAGTACTTACCCTTTACAATTTTCTCCATAGCTCAAGCTTTTGTTAGGCTCTCTCACTAATTTCATCCATTAACACAATTTCATCTCCACATAACATGCTCCTTTTAACCTCATTTTGTATACTATTAGTTAACTCATCCATAAGACCATAACTAGGTGAAAAAATTGCAGGCTCAGGGCAGATCCTTTGTGAACCCACGGTCATTTGGAACCCCGTATCTCCTTCCACTATTTTCACACTTGTGACGACTTCTTATGCATCCTTTATTGCTCTTTTATATTTTATATGAATTCTTTTCTTCTCCAAAACAATAATTCGGAGGGTGTCTAATATGACTGGCAACAAGTCTTATTGCACACATGATGAAACTTAGATATTTGGCATAGTGTTGTTCCTTATGTTGCTAAGAGAAATGTAGAGTCTGCTGTTTTAATCATTCTTTCAGGTTCTTGATAGTGCAAGAAAACAAACAATTATTTCATACTGTATGTGCTGCCATATTGCTAACAAATCTATCTTATGTGACCAAAAAATGCTTCCTAAGACTCGTCTGGCATTCAATTTCTGGCAGTGTTGAGAGCTTATGCCTATGTCTTTTCAAATGCTTGTCTTAGGTTGAGAATGAATTACCTGAAAAGATTGAAAGGCTTGTTAGATGTGAAGCTTCTTCATATCAGAAGCTTTTGATGAAGCGAGTGGAAGAAAACCTTGGTGCATTCGGAACTTCAAAGGTTTAACCTCTCTTCTGTTATTTGAGTTCAATGATTCATGCTCAACAATATTGTTTAATTCTTTGTTGAGATAAATTAAGCATAGCTAAGATCTATTGCAGCTCATAGACTTTATGCATATAAGTAGAAATTGTGCTTGTATATGTTCATGTCAGTGTCCAAAAGGATTCGTACCCTTTATTCGGTACTTGTATTTCTTTTGCGTTATTAATTTCCTTGGCTATATGAGGTTGAACATCTGCTTGTAGTTCTACGGTTAGAAATGAACATATGTGCTTACTCAGAAGTCATATTGGTGCATATTATGAACAAACTCTTTTGATTTATCAAAATAAGAAAAGAAAAAGAAACTATGCTTATTCAGGTATTATGTTCTTACCTTTGACCACATTCTTCCTTTTTTAGGCTCGCTCAGTCCACAATTCTGTTATGGAGCTACGCAATATTTGTAATCATCCGTATCTTAGCCAGCTTCATGTGGAGGAGGTATGGCTCTCCCTCTTGTATTAGTATCTTTATGATCTTGAAATTGATGTGAAGTGCAGGTATAACTGGAAAATATCATGCCTGTGCTTCTGCTACTGCTTTTGATTTGAGAACATATATTTTGAGCTCGTTTTTTATCTTCAGAAGTTGCTGAAAGGTGGGGAGTTGTCCCTTTTGGTTATCTGATCATTTTGTTTTATATGTCAGATTCACGAGTTAATTCCTAAGCATTATCTGCCGAACATTGTGAGGATTTGTGGGAAGCTTGAGATGTTGGACAGACTACTGCCGAAACTTAAGGCAACAGATCATCGGGTACAAAATTGCATGTTTGCATTACAAATTTGTTTTCTGAAGAATCTTAATTTCTAAATCACTCTTTGAGGTTGTGGATATTCATGTGCTTTTAAGCCTTCTTTACATCTGGTAATATCCGGCCTTATAATTTCTTCTTTCTCCTTGTTCTTTAGCTGCTGACACTGTTTTTGTCATTTTTAATTTATTTACTTGGGGGCCTTGACTTCATTGTCCATTGAAAGGATTCTGATGCTTTCCATTTTGTTAATCACAATTTCTTTGAGGGATGAGGCTGCAAGGGTTAAGGAAATGAAATTTATTCCTCTTTCATGCTGTTCTTTTTGGTCGTTTTGCAGGTCTTGCTTTTCTCAACTATGACCAGGCTGCTTGATGTAATGGAGGATTATCTCTGCTGGAAGGAATATAAGTACCTTCGCTTGGATGGACATACGTCTGGGGGCGATAGAGGTGCCCTTATTGATGGATTTAATCAGCCAAATTCTCCATTCTTTATATTTCTGTTGAGGTAATTGGCTTAACTTAGACTGCCTTAGATTCACTGTTTTGTTGAGTTTAAAGCATGTACTAGTCATTCATTTTGTCCTTACCTTGATCACTGGCCCGAAGTTTTGCAAAATTGAAAATTTGGCGAACACTTAATTTTAGTTTTCTGTGAGTCTTGATACTAAAGAAAACAAAAAACTTTATTAACTACCAAAAGTAGATTAATAAAATGTACTTCACTTTCATGGACAACGTTCCAAACTGGACCATTGTATATACTGGTTATTGGAGTATGGTTTAAATTGTTTCTAGGAAAAAATCTTGTAGGTTGTTTGTGGGACTTGTTTTGATGTTCCTTCTAGGTATCAGTTTTTTTTTTTTTTTTTTTTTTTTTTTTTTTTTTTTTTTTTTTTCTGCTTTCGTTATTCAAGCAAGCATTTTCTCTTAGACTACTTTATTCTAAAATGGTGCCAGTATTCGTGCTGGGGGAGTTGGAGTGAATCTTCAAGCTGCTGATACAGTGATACTTTTTGACACGGATTGGAATCCTCAGGCAAAACTCAAACTTACTCTTTTGAGGATTTTTTATATTTTGATTCTGTGGCTTTTGCTTACTGCTCTCCTGGTTTGCTGCTTTTAGGTTGATCTCCAAGCACAGGCAAGGGCTCATAGGATTGGTCAAAAGAAGGATGTTCTTGTTCTTCGATTGGAAACGGTAAATGCTTTCTCACTTCTGTCAGATTTTCTATTCATGCAGTTGCAGATTCATTCTTTTATAAAATGATTAATGAAACTCTTTCTTAAGATTGTTGTCTGCTGTTTTGTGGATCACATGGGTCATTCTGATTTATTTACATTGGTTAGCATTGTTAGCACGCAATTTCTTAAGATGTATATTTAGTTCAGTATCCCGTCATTTCTGGGTACTAGCACCATTCATGCCCCATGTAATTTTCGTTCTCCAGTTTAGTGGCCGAACTGTGTTTGTGAAGCGGGATAAGACTTTGTTCTAGGACATGTATGGAAACTGGATATGATTTTATTAAAGTGTCTTTTATTTTTTAGTCCTTGCATGTTTGTTAGACGAAGCCAGTTCTTCTTTTAGTGGCCGTTCATCTGTAATTGTACTATAATTCACCTTGTCTCTGCTTTCTTTCATTTCTACTCTGGGTTGACTGGTTGAGAGGCAACAGTCTTTTTAGCAATGCAGAGAACTCACTCTTAGCTTTTAAAACTTCAAATGTGAAGCTTAAGAAGCTTTGCCAGCATTTTGAATAGATGCTTGCCCTTTCCATGGGGGGATGGGCTGGCATTAGCCTGCTCCAGAGAAGGAAAAAGCATCAAAATAGGGAAAAGCATGTTATCTAGGTAGCCAAAGCTACAGTTACTTCGTTTTTCTTTTTGCCCTTTTTCTGCGATTGGGTAAAACAATTAAGCAGTCCTTAAACAATCATTATCTAGATAAGTGATTTTTCTTGCGAAAGCAATCAAAATTCTGTTGGACTTGACTTCATTAATTGCAGCATTCTTTGAATTCCTGATAGAGTAGCGTGAATGCGATTTTGGTTTCTTCAGAACTCCATGTTCAGATTATCTTGAACATTGAATGTTCTTCTAGAGCTTCTCAATGATACTTATTACTGCTAATATATAAGATAGAATGGAAAGATGAATTGAAGGTCTGCCCCCAGAGCTGTGAGCGCCCAAGGCTTTGGAAGGGTCAAATCTTATTAACCATATGTGACATTAATTCTTACCGCAATTTATGAATCAATACTGTAAATAATTTGTTGATCCAAATGTTCATTTCACAATTGTACCTACGGTATCTCTAAGTTCTCCATTTCTACAACCTTGTTGAATTAGGTCCAAACCGTTGAGGAACAAGTTAGAGCTGCTGCGGAGCACAAACTTGGAGTCGCTAACCAAAGCATTACTGCTGGATTCTTTGATAATAACACAAGGTCTTTTGAAGGAAGTTTTAAGAATTGGAAAATCTGCTCAACCTTTTGACTACTTTGGTGAATACATTGTGCTTATAAACGTATTTTAACTTGGTTGTAGTGCGGAGGACCGAAGGGAATACTTGGAGTCCCTCTTGCGTGAAAGCAAAAAAGAGGAAGCTGCACCCGTTCTTGATGATGATTCTTTGAATGATCTTATAGCGCGAAGGTAAAATAGTAGCAGCAAATGCGCTCTTATTCTGCTGTGAATTCATTGATTACATTAAAATTATTTCCAGTGACTTGCGTAATATGACATTTCTTACACCAGAAGAGCAAATTATGCTGTGTTATGATTTATCTAGTTCATTCCAGGCAATATGGCACTGAAACTGCATCTCAAAGCCACATCACTCTTAGGACCAATATTTCATTTGTCAGAAAAGCGGCATTTGAAGCTCAATGCTGACTACCATTTTGTCCCTTTCCCCCTTTTTTCTTCTTTCATTGTTGGGAGCTGGAGGTTATATTTGCTGGCTAGTCGTCAATTCATTTTTATTCTATGACACCGGTGCTATATTTCTAATGTATTTGACATGTATTTGCAAGAACTATTTGGCCTACTCGCTATCAGGTGCATAACTCTGATATCTCTACTCCCCATGTGCAGTGAGCCAGAGATTGATATATTTGAATCAATTGATAGGAGAAGGCGTGAAGAAGAGATGGTAATCATGCCAATACTTTATTCCAGGCTATTTAATTCTCTCATTTTCTGGATGGATATATCCTGCTAATCCGGTTGAAAAGTTATTCATCCAATTAGTTTATCATCATTTTATTAATTCACGCTTGGTAATGCAGGAAGTCTGGAAGAAGTTGTGTTCAGAAAGTGGAAGTTCAGAGCTCATTCCTCCTTTGCCCTCTCGGCTTCTTACTGATGAAGACTTGAAACCATTTTATGAAGCAATGAAAATAAATGATAAGCCAGCTGTGGCTCCTAACCCTGGGTTAAAACGGAAGGGTGAGAGTCTTGGGGGCCTTGATATCCAACATTATGGACGTGGAAAAAGAACAAGAGAGGTTGGTTATACTTTTGGAGACTGCAGGCACTTGCAACCATATCTTTTATCAATGCTTATACTATCTGTAAAATAATTTATTATCCATTAATTTGTTCATTTTATTTCTTCTTCCTTAGGTTCGCTCATATGAAGAGCAATGGACAGAAGAGGAATTTGAGAAAATGTGCCTTGCTGAGTCTCCTCAATCACCTATTCTAAGGGAAGAAATTCAGGAAAAGAAATTCTTTCCAGTCTCTGGCAGTTGTCCTGCCCCTGTTGCCATTAGTGAAATACAAACACCAGCACTGGATCAACCTCCTCCCCAGCAGCCTGCGCAAGAACTTCCCCAACAGCTTGCCCAAGAACTTCCCCAACAGCCTGCACAAGAGCTTCCCCAACAACTTCTTGGGCCCATAGTTCAACAAAGCCCTGTGACCGTGACTCCGCCATCTAAACGGGGCCGGGGAAGGCCAAGGAGGACAGCAATAGTAACTGAAATCTCACCGTCCCCTGTCGTTCTTTCAGCAACTGCAGCTGTAAAGGTGGATAGCATATCCGTTGCAGAAAATACTTCTACCAGTCAGGCAACTTCTGGGCCTGTTTCTGTGTCCATTCCTTGTGCTTCCTCTGTGGAAAGTACCAGTGCAACTATCCTAGAGAGTGCTGCAGCTGTTGCTCCTAGCCATCAGGCAATTGTTCCTTCTGTTGCTTCTCTGTCTGGTCCTCCTTGTCCTCCTACAAGTGGGCAGGGTAGGGGACGAGGTAGAGGGCGAGGGCGAGGTCGAGGGCGAGGTAGGAAGGTCGAAAATGGAGAAGCTCCAGGGCGTAGAGGGAAACGACAGAGTGTTACAACAGAGGCGTTTCTCTCCCCTCCAACTCAAGCAATAAGTGAGCCTGTCTCGGCAGCACAAGGTGTGAGTGTTTTGAGCTCTTCAAGTCACCATATGCCTCCAACACCTCCCTCAATGGGGAAGCCTGATCTGGTGCCACAGGTAGTGGCAGGTTTGGGTTCAAAAGAACTTGGTCATGCTCCTGCATCCGTGAGAGATGCTAATAAGGAACTGAATTCAGTTTCTATGATGCCTCTTGCATCATCTTCCACTAGCAAGGAAGTAATCTCTGTTTCAACTGTTCCTGTTATTCCATCATCTACTTCCAGCCAGGACCCTAGTTCAATTTCACCTGCAGTCCATTCATCCTCAAAAAACCATTCAGAAGACAATCTTTCCTTCTCTGCTGCCCAGACCGAAGCTACTCAGCAAGCTAATGCAATTTCAGTTGTGCCTCATACTTCACCTTCGGCTGGCACGGAACCAAGTTCTGCGTCACCTGTTCCTCTTCTTTCGTTAACTTCCAAGGACTCCGGTTCAGTTTTACCTGCTCCTGTTCCTGCATCATCTTCTGCATGCATGGAACTAAGTTCAGTTTGCCCTGTTCCTGCTGTTGCATCCTCCTGTTCCAGCATGGGTCCAACTTCGTCAGCACCTGCTCCTCTTCTTTTAGCATCTAATGCAACAGGCAAATTAGATTCCGGATCAGATAAGGGGACATTTTCTTTCTCTTCTGCTATTTCAGGTCATGATGATTCTTTATGTGATTCTTCTATCTTGAAGAATATTGGTCAAGGAGATTCTGGTGTAGGAACTGGTCATATTTCTGATCTAGTGCCTTTGCCTGCAATTTCATCGGTTTCACAGTATAGCACTCCTCCCACTGCAGCTAAGCCAGGTAGAGGACGAGGACGCAAGCCTCAAACTGGAAGTGAGCCACCACGGCGCAGGGGGAAGAGACATGATTTGATCACCACAACTGTTACTGAAGGGTTAGGTGCTCAGGATCCAAGATCAATTGAACCCCCACAAAAGAGAACCAGGTTATCCGTTGGGAGGAAGCCCACTACAAGAAGCAAGCGTGAGAATGAAGCTCAACAAGTAGTTGTAGACCAGTCGGTTGCATCTCAAAGGACTCCAGATTTTTCTGGTGGACAAATCCAAGATATGGTCCGTAGTGAAATTGATCCACAGAACAATGCTATCAACCGAGATGCATCTCAATCCCATGCTATTCTGGTTCCTGGTCAGGTGGGTGATAATGTAAACCCGGATATTGATACTGCTGAAAAGGTTCTCGATGATGCTCAGAGAAAGGCAACTGTGATCCAATCTGTTGCACCTCGAAGTTGCTCTGGTCCTCCTATTGAGCTGCAGATTAACATGGTCAACTCTGGCGATTCTCCTGCTCAGGTTGGTGTATCTGCTGAAGAGGTTTATACTGCTAATGTAAATTTTGTAACTGCTATGACTAAAAAGGTTCTCCAGGAAGTGCAGGAACAAACAGCCATTGTCCAGTCAGATGCATCTCAAATGATTCCAGATCCTAGTGCAAGACCAATCCCTCAAGCTATGGTGCGTTCTGAAGTTGAGCTACATAGCAATGCTATCAAATCCGACACATCACAATCCAGTGGTCGTGTTGCTGAATGGGTAGATACTGTTAATATAAGCCGTGGAGCTGCTACAACTAAGGAGGTTCTCAGTGAGGATCAACAAATAATGAAAGTTCAGTCAGCTGCATCTCAGACGCCTTCAGTTCACTCTGTTGGGAAAATCCCTGAAGATATAGTGTGTAATGAAGTTCAGCCGCAGTCTGATGCTATCCAAACAGATCCATCGCAATCCCATGTTACTCTTTCCTCTGCACGGGTGGACAATGTCAAGGAAAAAGAAAATGCTATGACGAGAGAGGTGCCCTTGGTAACTCCACTATCAGAGGCCAAAGAAGAGAGATATTCGAGAAGTAAATATGACAGCCCTCCAATTTTACGTGTATCTTCTTGTGATGAGTTGGCTGTATCAACTTCAGGATCAAGGGCTCAGGTTAGTGATTGTCTGGCTGAGAAGAGTGAAGGTGATTCTAAGGGTGAAGGTGCTGAAAAGAGTGAAACTAATTCTAAAGGTGAAGGTGGTAAAATTGAGGCTATGAATGACAAATGTGAGAGTGATTGTAAGAATGAAAATGATGAAAAGGGAGCTGGGAGATGCATGAAGGTTGGTGAATCACAGGCATCATCTCTAAGTTATGTCGAATCTACATTAGTTCAAATCCATGCAAGCAATTGCACGAATGCTGCTCTACTCGATAAGGAGGATTCATGCAAAACTTCACTGGCAGGTAAGAGTGGGTCAAACATGGCTGCAGAAAAAGATGTTGACCTGCTACAGACGGAGGATCTTTCTCTTGATAAATCATTTGTTAGTAAAACTGAGGTAGCCAGCATTGAGAGTCGTGATGGTGGTGGACTCACAAAAGAAAAGGACACAGGAGACACCATAGAGGAGGAGACTGTTGTTTCACCTGCAGTGGGGACTGATAGTCAAAATATGAAGGGAATCACATCCTTTGGATCTCCATCTACCGAGACAGAAGCTTTAGTTGATGTTCATCAGGAAGGCAAACTTGAAGTATCGGGAGAAGGAACACATTCTGATAAAGTTGTAATGGCCGAGGTTTGTGAACCAGACAAGTTATCAGTTAAAGCTTCACTGGAGATAACTAAAGATTTAAGTAGGGTGGAGGAGGAAAAATCTTTGACTCCAGAAACTTTTGAGAAGCAAGCTAATGTTGCAGACTCCCTTACAGAAAAATGTGAGAGCGATCTTGCAGCGCAAGGTCCAGATATGAAAGATTCGGATGTAAGTGAAGTTGCACCAAGCCCTAGAAATGAGTCCCAATCCAGTTTAACTGTTGGCACATCACAAAGGGAACCTGAACAACAAGCAATTGCTGAAGCAAACTTGCACCCAGGTATTTGTAGCAAGGACTATTCTTTATCTATTTCGGATAATCAATCTGATAAAGAGTTTGAAAGACAAGCAAATTTATTCCAGTACACCTTGTGAATCTGATATGACACCTGTTGATAATTTTGTAGAGACTTTGCGAAGCACGGAATCTGGTGCTAGGGAGGAATCCCTTTCACTTAGGATTGCTTCAAATCCCGAAGCTGTTGAGGCTCCAAAAGAAACATTTTGCAGCAACCATGACACGAATTGTGTAGCTGAATTACAGGGTAACATGAGTTCTGATGTAAAGGAAGATCTTTCTAATTCTGAAACTAATGTGTCTCAACTATGTCCAGCTGTTGGGTCATCTGAAAATCACCCAGAATTAAAACAGGTTATGGTGGAAGACATGCGAACTAAAATTTGTGAGGAGTCTGCTTCACATGAAGTTGATGATATTGTACTGCCTCAAACGGAGAAAGCTGGTGTTCAGTGCCGTGATGATTTGTCTGTTGAGACAATCGAGAGCAGAAGATCTGAAGATAATGTAGATGTTTTAAATGGTGAACTAAAAAAACCTCCATCCAGCACAATTGCTGGAACATCTGAAAAGGTAGCAGATCTGCTGTTAGTTGCTGAGGAAAACACAGTAAGGATAAATGATGGTTCAATAGATTCAGGTCACGTGGCAGAAAAGTCCGAGGATATATCAATCCAAGATCTTACTGTTGAAGGTCAAGCGACCAAGGGAAGTGATGCTGCCGAAGATACTTCAACATCAAATTCTACATTTAATGAACCTCAACACAGTGCTGGCACATCTAAAAATGAAGTGGAATCTCAATTTTCTGCCTTAGAAAAAATAGAAAAGATGTATAGCGAGTCAGTGGCATCGGGTGAGGTAATAGCTCCCAAACCTCCGATAAAAAAGTCTCAGAGTTTGCATGTCCAAGACCTGGTGGACAAAGGATTTGATGCCACTGGAGATGTTTTAAAATCTAAGTCTGAACTAAATGAAGCTCAACCTGGTGGAACATCTCAAATAGGGGTAGAGTTACAGTTGGTTGTGGAAGAGAACTCAGAGACGAGGAATAAGGAGGATGGTTTACCTGATGCTACAGCTGTTAAGCCCACTGAGAATTTGGGTATCCAAGATCCTGCACATCAAGAAGCCGAGAACCAACGATCTGATGCAACTGAAGAGTTTTCAACATTAAATGTTGAACTTAATGAATCTCAACCAGAAGCAGCAGATGGAACTTCTGAAAGAGTGGTGGAGTCTAATTCAGTTTCCAAACAAGACATGGAAATTCATGAGGAGGTTCCTACCGGGGATGATACAGCTGAGAATGCTGCAGTAGGGAAGTCTAAAAATTTTCCCTCGATAGATGTTGCTGTTGAAGGAAAAGGGAATAAAGAATCTGATGTAACAGATGAAATTTCCAATTCTGAACTCAGTGAACCTAAATCCAGTCAATCCACAATTAATGTGGAAACACATTTAATTTGTGATGAGTCGGGAATGACTGACAAGGAGGTGGCTCCACTTGAAGTTGAAGTAGTTGAAACTCCATGCAGAGATTTTCCTGGTGGTTCTGGCAGAGACTTGGAAGTTGAAGGACAAGAAGAAAAGAAGTCTACTGCAAGTAAAAATGTTTCTAACCCTGAGAGTGAAGAGCCTAAAGGCAGTCCAGGTGCTAGAGCCGCTGATAATGGGGCAGAATCACAATTGGTCGCTGAGAGGATCTCCGAGACAGCTCTGAGCAAGGAGGTCTTTTCAGGTATAGTGAGCTCAAATCTGAAGTTTCTATGTGTGCAGCACCGAATTCTGCTAGTAGCACTTTCAAATTGTTTCTCTTCCGTATTAATAGTTTCTCTTCCTGCTTCAGGCAAAGAAGAGAACTCCAGTATCAAGCAAGGTGGAGATGAAAACATGTCAACTGCAACAGAGTATGTTGATGAAGAATTGTCATCTGCTACAGGGGCTGGTGATGATAAAACTGTGTCCACTGCAGTTACTGATGCTTGATCTGGCATTTCTCCTGTATTGCAGGTAATGTGTTGTTCTTGCTTTAACAATGTTTCAGAACTTGGATACTTTGACCATGTGTTCCTGTTTTTGTTTTATTATGTACATTGTTATTCGATTGAGGGCAGATAGCTATTCTTTTTATTGCTGTTATTGATTACTGCCTGGTTGGATTACTTACTATGTACAAAAGGGCTGTATCAAAAGTTCAATCAATTAGGCATCTTAATATCACATGTTGCAAATTCCTTACTATTAAGTTCCTTTTCTGTATGGTTTACTGTACGTAAAAGTTTATAGGCTGAATCACCTCTTAGGCAGAATAATGTCATTTGTTTTCCAATCTTCATTCCTTTCTTGTCTCATATGCCTTAGCTATGTAGGATTTCTATTTTGCCTCGAGGGTCTGCTTTGCTTGTCTGTTTCTTAATGCTCGGGCTGTTTTACAAATCTTGCATCTGCAGCAGAAATAGTCATGCTAGTGGTTTTTACCAAGTTCAGAACAGCAACGAATAGTGCTTTAAAATGTTGTCATTGTTGGGATCTTATATCACTAATTTCAGGCGGAGTGGAAATAAGTTCCTTAGGCTTCCTGCAGCTAGTCTTTTCTTTAAAATGGTTTTTGCCTCTTTTTATCCCTCTGGGGATATCTGATAAAAAAGGTTTTACCTCCTTTTTTTCGTGATATAGTAAACTTTAATCCCCAAACATTTACCCAGGAGTGCAGCAGTGACCCATTTCTACTTTCCTCCATTTTGCGACTCTGATCACAACCATATGATTGGAAGTGGAGGTAGCACTAGGCTACCACTCCTCTGTCCCTTACGTCGTTTACCATTTTAAACCCTTGTCGAGCTCTTAGTTATTTTTATTTATTTATTTATTTTGTATGTGTGCCGGCAGTAAAGGTGGATTTTTGCATCTTATTTAAAATGCTTATGAAAAGGTTACGTCTTAACAATCTTGGGAGGATAGGGATTGATATAAACTAGCAACAGTACCTCGAGGATTTCCAGTTCTTCATGCGGATCTCCAGACGTAAGTTGTGGCAATTCTGTCATGATTTATAACTCTTTTGTTTTTTTTCATCTACTTTTTCTTTTTGCTCAAGTCAGAGAAAAGACACCAGTGGGCAAAGCCTATTATTATGGTTTCATGAACTTCCATCACTCCTACATACTGTGACGACAGTTAGGGAGAGAGTTGAATTGTCTCTTTATCCGTTCGATGCAGGATTGATTCATAAGGTGTTTTCAATTGGGCTAGGTTTAGGGGTGGGCTTGTTTATTGTTTAAAATGTGCATTCATCTTTGTTGTCAACGAGATACTAAGTACCTTTTCGCTGTAACAGGTGATGGATGAGCAGGACTGGCATCGCTGGCATCACTGGAATCTGCATCTTCAAAGCGGATGATTCAGGTCAAAGGTTTAAAGTTAGATAGTATGTGAACTGGTAGTGTATACTCCCTATTTGCTGTAAATTATATATGTAGTTATTAGCTCATTCCTCCGTCCCTGGGTGTATGTACGCGATATAACCTGGTCCAAAATCTCTGGCAGCTCACAGCTGTATCGATATTATTTCCGCTATAGTCAGAAGCTCCTCTTTCTGGCCAAGTTTCTCTCTCACAGGCCATTGACTTTAGGATTGCACCTGAATTGTCTATAGTCGTCTATTTACCTTCTTATCAATTTGTTTTTCCACTTTCTATGTCACGCTTCAACTTTTTGCTTATATAATCTGTGAAGTTTAATGGAAAGTGCTAATGAATTAGTACCAAAAGAGCAGCTGTTCCCAACAGAAACAGAGGCTGTTAGGTTGCACACTTGGCTACCTCAATCAACAGCCAAACGTAACTGACTAAATAAACCAAAAGGTATGCAAACTGGTCATTGCCTGCGTTGATTTATAAGTCTATGCAAGCCTCAAGTACAACAAAAAATAACACTGGAATTCTTGAAATAAGAAAACTACACTTGAAGTTGAAAGGTTTTCTTCATTATATTATACTAACTTGTGTTAGCTTAGCAGACTTTACAAAAACCAATTCAACTTATATGGAGATAAAGGGAATTTTGGCCTGTAGTTGAGGTATAAACGTCGAAATTTTTCAGCAATTTATTTTATCATGTTCCAATACAATTCTTCTAATGCCATTATCTTAGTTTTTACAAGTATTAAAGAATTAATATTTGCTTATCTAATTATATCTAGAGTTTGAAGTGAGATTTGTACGTGTAACTCAAAACACATAAAAGCACAACCATTCGGAGTAATTTGGAATGTCCGAAAACATCATTGATGATCATCGCACAAGAGTAAGTGTTTTTTCTAAATGGATTGAAAGAATATCTGCATATGAAAACCTTCTTCCTCCTTTTAAATTGGATTACTAGTGTCTTTTTTAAAATGATCGATCCAAGTTTAGTTGGTTTACGAATAACTATATTTTAAAATAAGGATTTAAAGTTGGAATTGTTGAAACAGTTGTTTTAAAAACAGTTGTTTGGAGTTGTATTTCAAGTGAAGTTTATCCAATCTTCTATTTAAAAATATATCTTCAATTTCCACTATAGATTTCTGATTATCATAGACTTTTTTTCTCTTTTATATTACGATAAAAAAAAAAAAAAAAACTAATACCCGAATGAAATTTCATTTCTTAAAAGCGTTGTCCAAACGGGTATGAGTTTGCCACAACTCATTCGGTTAAAGTAACGAGGACTCCGGATTGAAGTAATAAGATTGTTGAATCTTCAAAACAACTTCGGTATATCTTTTCTGATGGTCGCTTACTTAGCTTTTAAGTATACATGCTTAGAGTTCACTTCTTCACCTGTACTCTAGCTAGTTGAATAGAGAATGAATATATGCAATGACTTCTATTGGAACGGTATAAGATATAGGCTTAATAGGAATAAATACATAATAAAGTTGATATTTACATGCGTTTACCGACGGTTTAATGAGCCGAGGGTCTATTGAAAATAACCTCTCAGCTAGAGGCGGATTTGGGATTTAAATCCTATGGGTTCAACTTTTAAACTTTTTAACATTGAACCTATTATATTTTTAAAGTTATGGGTTCAGTTGAACCCATTAGTTGTTCACTACATCCACCTCTGCTCTCTACCTTCACAAGGTAGGGGTAAGGTCCGCGTATACACTACCTTCCCATACTAGGGGTGCTTATCGGGCGGATAATTATGCTTAGCGGTCATCGGATTACAAAATGTAGTAATCCGCTAGCCATCCAAAAAGATAACGGGCGGATCAGTATCGGATTAACGATTATCGAGCAGTCTATCGGCTAAACCTTTGAACAATCCTAGTCATGTGAATACCGAACGGCCAAAATGCATAGTTCACTAACTTTTATGCACAGAAAGCTCAAACTGAAACAAGGATAAAACCAGCTGAACCAACACAAAAGCAGCCTGCACCAGAGGACACCACCAAGCCAATAGCCAATGTTGTTCGTACGCAGCTGCAGAAATCAAACACTGATTCTATAACAGTTGGGAAACAACACCACGCTCGTATAGGCACAATAAAGACAAAGTTGATTCTGATACAAAGACCCAAACTTCTGCTGCGGCCGTGGAACAGTGGCAAACTCCCCACTATTATACCCTGCCTCATTACCCTGTTTATCAAGTTAGAGATTCCTATGATCATCAACCCGGTTGTTCTATTGAGAATTAGAAATTAGGGATTTAGCTATTTAGGATTTTAATAGTACTTTATATATATATATATATATATATATATATATATATGGGTAAAAGTGTAAATATAAAAATTCTTAACGGTTAACGATTTATCAAATAAGAAAATTGAGTAATTCGTCCCCAAACCGTTAAGCCATTAATTATAAAATCTCAATTTGTTCACCATCCATTACCCCGATAATCCGATACCAATAAGTCCAATCAGTTCGGTTCGGTTCGGTTTTGAACAGCTCATCTAACCCAGACCCCATGATGTGATATAATACTAGGCATGTTGTTGTTGTTGTTACCAACGGTTTAAGTGCATTTAGCGGCGGTTTCAGTGTATTTAGCGGCAGTTTACATGCATTTAGCGGCAGTTTAGCTGCAATTTACGTGCGTTTAATGGCAATAAATAAATAAATAAATAAATAAAAGGAAAATTACAAGCTATGTCCATTTATAAATAGCTTATTACAAAAAATGGTCAATTCATTAAATATTACTAATATTAGTTAATTAGCTATTTGTAGCAAAAAAAGCTTAACTTTTTGCTTTCTTTTGCGTGCGTGTTATTAGAATAGATTGAGTACATCTTAAGGAGTTTGAATATCAATTTTGGGATGATTTGGCAGAGTTTTGAGGTGGTTTGAATTGAAAATTCAAAGTAGAATATGAAACATGAAAAAAATGATAAGTGTATCGTACTGTGTATCATTTGTGTATCTTATTTGTATCATATGTATATCCATGTATACCTCTGTGTGTGATACATGCGTGATACATGTGTCGTAGAAGAATTTTTTGAACTCGATTTTAACTATGAGTTTTGATACCAAACCAGTCGAAATCACCTCAAATCTTCCTCAAAATTTGCATATTGACTAATCTATATGATTTCAATGAATTTCAACCATACCCATTGGAAAATGTCCCTTTTTGTTAGATTTTTGAAATCTTGTATATATATTTTTTCGTATTTCATCACCTTTTTTGCTATCTTATCCATAAATTTTTTTTCCGTCTTGTATCTAATAATGTTGCTGATCACGCTTGAAAATATGGAAGGAGATTTTTGCGTGTGATTCTTGGAGAAAAAAAGCCTTATTTATTTGAGTTTTCAATTTTTATATGTGCTTGACTAGTTTTTGTAAGTTTATGATTAATGGCCAGATGTTGGTAAGTTGAAATTTATTTGGGACATTTATGTAAGATTCCCGAATAAAACTGAAATTGCTGCGTAAAACTGAAACAATAGCTTCGCAGTATTATTTATTGAACGGTGGTTTTGGCAACTTTATAATAATAAAATAAACAAATAAATAAAATAAGTGATACATAAATAAGAATCGATAAATAACAGACATAATAATAATAATATTAGCAAAAATATGAATACTGAAAATGATAAAACTATAATTTATGATATGAAAAGAAAACACAGTCAAATTACAACATCTGAACACATTTTGCACACCTAAAATAAACCATTTTATCTCGCGTCGACGTCTTTGTTGACCATGTAATCATTTTCTAAAGTTGGAACCTGAAATGATTAAAACAATAATACTATGAAATTGGGATCAAACTGGCCTAAAACAATGTATATATATTAGAGAAGTTAGAGTTGTACCTAGGACTCAGAGAGATCAGAGATCAAAGATATATATGTTTGGAAATAATGGGACAATGCTTAGACAAGAAAGGTGTAAACAAGAAAAATATTATTAAATTAAGAATTAAACATAAAATAATTATGTAAGAAATAAACAAAAAGAGACACACTCTTCCTAAATGATAACTTCACACTGCCACCCTCGTGTATTCTAGGGAATGGGAAAGGATGTCTCATTGCTCTCAACCCTATGCCTTATAAATTTGTCCTAATTATAATAACTTTTTGAAACACAAATCCCAAAATATATTGCAAAAATAATAAAGAAAAATAGAGATAGAAGAAAGAAAGAAGAAAGCCAAAAAAGGTAAGTGATGAATGTTTTCCCAAAAATATTTTACTTGAATTAAATGATATATTAAATATTTTATGGGAGTTCGGGGGCAGGGGCGTACACAAAATTACTTTTTATAAGCGGGGTCGTATTTATATAAATAAAAAAATAATAAGTATTATTTAATATCATTTTCCTACAAGTTGAAAGTTTTGACCCAATAGTTTAGTTGAATATTATTGCAAAGTGAGGTATAAGTTCAATTTTTCTTGGCCTCAAATTTTTAACAAAAATGCCCGTTCAAATATGTTCAAAAAATAGAATATCTAAGTCCAACTTCAAACCTATGATCTTTACAAATTCAAATATGAGCTTGACCAGTGGATCAAGAAATACTCTTTGCTAGAAAACGGTGTCATTACTATATATATTGCTTCATTTTTTCAAGAATATTAGTATAAATATTTAATATTTCTTTTCGGCGAAGCGGGGTCGGATAACACCGCTTCCACCCATTTGCGTCGGCCCCTGAGGGGGGAGGGGGGCGTGAGGGAAAACACTTTACCCTCAGATATATTTATATCAAATTATATTAATTTTTATGATTAAGTGATGTTGATTAATATTTATAAATATATCCTTTTCATCATGTTATTTATTTTTTATGAACATAAATTAAAATTAATTAATTCTCCTTAAAGACTCCCCTTCATTCACGAATTACGTAGTATTATTATGAGGGAAGAAGGAAGCACACTGAAATATATAATTTTTATATGGGAAAAAGGTCGACCTTTCTTCAGGTATATCATTAAATTGTTCCTCGTCATTTTGTTTTCTCTGAAACGGTAAAAGTGAAATTTCGGAAGAAATTAGATATATACTTCAAAATATCAATTATAGTTTGTTCAAACAATTCAAATTAATTTAATATTTCTGTATTTATTTGTTATATTGGAAAATAGATTGTTGCAACTTGATGCCTTGAACTTATTTGCGCGACAAGGGAAAATAGAAGCATGGGTTGAGAAACTAAAGTAAGATAATAAAG